TCAAAACACAGCTTACGGCAGGGCGGGGGAAATGACCAGGCCCTGGCCAAAGGCCCCCACCCAGCCGCCCCTGCTAGGAGGAGGCGCTGCGTGGCCGAACACAGCAGTGGCCAAAATGCGCTCCATTAAGTATTAGTGATTAGTAAAAATGATTCACAGACAGACAAACTTTTATCAGTTCTTGATTTAACCTTTGAATCACGTTGGTCCCCGGGAAAACCAACTTATAAAGACATCACACCCGCAGACACATGTTCCCCGCTGCCAGCGCCATCTTTGTTTTTGTCGAAGCCTGGTCTCGAAATGAAAAGCCTGTCTGGTCACATTCTGCGGCTGAAAACTCGGGCACCTCTGCCCTACTTATGGACATTCTAAAACGATAWGTCGGAACCGCGGTCACGGTGAAAGACCCCTAGCCTACATAATGTCTCCCCAAATGAGAAACAAGACGGCAGCAATTAACATGTATTAACCTGCCTGTACTCACCATGGATAAACCAGCTGTCATCCAGGCTACATAAAAACCAGAAAGCTAAGCTCTTTGCTTTTAAACTCGGTGTGGAATGAATCATTCCCACACCTACACTCAGCTAGTGTCATTACAGCCCCAGAAAGACCAGATCAGCGTCTAAAATTTATAATTTCAATGTGTGCGGCCTGAAATATTAGCCATAGCTGTTTAGCATAATGTGCTAATGAAAACGTTAGCTCACCCGTTGTGGCAGAACCATAGTTTTAGCGCACTCCGACGCTAAACAAGGGCTGAGTGAAGGACATTTTGTCCACATCACTGTCAACTCGTGCCTTTCAAAACACTACTCACAAACTTCCTTAAAATGGAAATCCGTCGGCCGCCTTTTTATCTGACTTTCTTAGCCTACCCTGTTTTCACTGAAACATCAAAATGGAAAATCCAATTTTCCCTCAGCAGTTAGCCTGAGCTAACTGCCTACTCCAGCCAGGTTCAAACTAATCCTCTCCTGGCTAGCTCAAAACAGTAAAGTCAAACCTCCCTGTTTTAAACACTCGGCCTGGAATATAACGCTCCCAGACCTACCTCGGCTAAAAATCAGTCAGCCCCTGAGAGCAAAACAGAGCGAGCACCTAATAAATAGATTTTTAGAGTGTGCTAAGCCCGTAAGTTAGCTGTAGCACTTTCGCTTATTTATTTATTTATTTATTTATTTCCGACAGCGTAAAGATATTTAGCTCACCCGTGTTTCCGTCCAGACAGGTTATTTTAGCTCCAGTGCCGGAGCGCCACTCGCAGCAGTCGTCCGTATGATGGACCCACAAAAACCCGGAGCAGACAAAGCCTCCACCGCCGCCATGTTCGCGGTATGGTCCGAAACAGACAGCCGGCCGCAGCGAGCGCTCTCCGTCCCTGGAAAGCTTCCGTAGTTGACAACGCCAAAAACTGTCGTGGTAAGATGGGCAGAAACATGTTGAAAAGATGTTAAAAAGACAAAAGGTCTTGCGGGTATGGTCGTAAAATCATTTATTAATGGGCAGACGAACAGAAAACAATCAGGAAGTCTGTTGAGTGTGGGCCCGCCGTCATAGGCTGGCAAGCAATGATATACCGTTAGCTAACATCATGTGATAATGAACAACCAATCACAACCTGCCTCATCCTCTTACGTGAAAATAGGTCAACTTGATGCTGACGTCCGGAAGATATCACGAGATATGAACAGTGGTCAGTGTCAAGGTGATACAGAAATAATTAGTCCATGACAAAAACATTTTTGCAAAACAAAAT